AGCCTTGATGAGCATAAGAGACTTCTTTAAAAAACATTACAAGTCTTACTGATCCCAAACTTTTGAGCGGTAGTGTGCATATATATATATATATATATATATATATATATATATACACACACATATATTACAATAAAAGTCACTGACACATTTTTCAAAATATCTTCTATGTTCCACAGAATAATAATAATAAAGTAGGTCACACAGGTTTGGAACAACATGATGATGCAATGTAAATAATGGGAGAATTTTCATTTTTGGGTGAACTATCCCTTGGCACCACTGCATTAAACATGCACATAGTATTGTACTACTGCATAATGCACAGTTTAACACACTATTCAAAAAACTGTATAAAGTGTAAACTATGCAGAACACCAGTATTCCATCCAAACACACCTGCTGTATTTTTCACACTCATACTCATTAAATGAAAATAGCCTCTGCTTGGATTTGTGGGTGAATGTCTATCATTAAGGGAAAGAGACACTGTGAGCTCTACCACAATGCTCAGTTTTTCACAACAACAAGTGCACAACAAATACAGAAAATTATGTGCAGAGGGGAGCTACGTTAGGACAGCGAGGTGACATTCGCATGAACTTTGCTGTCCAGCTGGACCACACAGCAGCGCTGAAAGGGCCGGGCCAGGGAAGCGACAGATGCATTACATCAAATTGAGACTGCGGATATTACTCTCTAGAAAAACAGTGACGTCTTTGTGAAACTAATAAGGTTGGGCGCAAGCACCAGCTGCCAGTCCAATCTTTGCTGTTATGACTGGAATAGTGAACGAAGTGGCCTTCGACTGTCCATCTGTCCATCACGAATCACAGAGCTCGCCGTACAGCAGCAGTTGACGGAGAAAGTTGACAGTGTTTCGAAAGGTTAAAAGAGCAATAAAAAAAGTGTATGTGAGTGACACAAGGTGATGGTCACAAAGGCTGTAGAAATGCGGTGTCACTCAGAAACCAGGCTGCTGTTTGACAGCGCTACCCTTCTGCTCTCTCTCGCCGTCATATACAGAAACAGCCAACGCTAACAACAGTCAGCCGTCAACTCGGTTTATCCTAAATGGCTGTTTTAAGTTGGAAAGCGCTCATACTGTGCTGTTGGACGCAGCTCGGGGCAAAGCAAGAAAACTCACTTAACTTCAGAGGTGACTGTGTGTGAAAATGGATGGAAATGTTTTTTCTATGACAACACTATGAGTATTTTTTTATTCTAAGAGTAATTCTATTACTCAAAAAAGAACAAAAGAACAGAACACTGCCACAAGGCTCTCACACTATTTAAATAGTGGACAAACAACACTTCAAACCTTTTGGTTTGTGTCGGGTAGTCCTTTAGCAAAAACAGGGCCTAAATTCAATCTTTTAAGTTGATTGTTTCGTAGGCATCCTTTGTAAATTTTAAAGTGTTGTATGTTTCCATCTTTCATAAAAACAAATGTTCCAAAATGTCTTTGATAAAAAACAAATGTCCCAAAAATAACCCCAAAATGTCATGAGAGTCTCATCAGATGGAGTGCAACATAAAAACAATGTTACTCAAATTAAATTAAGTGGTATGTGCACATCCCCCCCCAAAAAAACAAAATAAATAAATAAATAAATAAAAAATTACTTTAGAGCAGGCAAATGATCAAAAAACTAAATCCTAGAATGCTTTCAAAAAGAATAGCACATTGTCACAATGCTCTCAAACTATTTTAGAAGTGGACAAACAACATTTTGACCCTTTCAGTCTTCATCAGGTAGTCCTCTTTGAAAATTCCTATTTCTGAGCACAGACTGGGCACATCTTCAAAAAGAGTATCCTTTAAGATGATTCTTTTATAATCTGGCTTTGTGAATGAAAAAATGTGTTGCTTATTGCCACCTTTTTTGATGAAAAACTAATAATCAAATCTCATCGGGTGGAGTGCAACACAAAACCAGTGTTACTATTACGAAACGGCATGTGCACATCCAAAATGACTTTAGAGGAGGTTCATGACCAAAAAAACATTCAAGAAGGCCTTCAAAAAACCAAAAAGATATAATTTTGTCACTATCACTTTTAATAGTGGACAAACAACGTTATGACTTTTCACATAGCCTACCCATTTAATTGTATGAAGTTCCAAACATAGGTTCAGGAGGAGCCTAATCATTCAGTCCTGACAATCATCATTAAGAGCCTATATAAGCAGCAGTCCATCAGGACTGAATGGGCAGGCAAATTCTTGAAATTGTCACCCTCATGTGTTCCCAAACTTTAAGATTTTTGTTCCTCTTTAAAACACAAATTAACATATTTTTAATGCAACCTGGGAAATTTCCATCCCTTCAATGAAATTCCAATTCTACAAAAACTTTAATGCTTCTTTATATAGTTTCAAGAAGTTGCTTGATGCGAGAGAACCAATGAGGTTCATTCCTGCATCATTTAAGAACATTTAAGCTTCCATTTATCATAACTGATGTGCTGTAAGATGTGCGATGATCAATATTTATATGCGAATAAAAGCCTAAATTAAACCTGTCCATCATGTAAAGCAATCGTGTCTCTTCAGAAGACTTGGATTAAACTGCTCAATTCACATGATTTCATTTACAATCTCTTTATGGACTTAAACGCCAAAGTTTTGGTGGAATGGACTTTCAAAGGAATCTCTCAGGTTTCATTAAAAGTATCTTCATTTGTGTTTAGAAGATAAACAAAAGTCATACAGGTTTGGAACAACATGAGGGTCGTTTTAGTTTTTGGGTGAACTGTCCGTTTAAATTTCCAAACACTCTCTTTCTGCTTACTAATGGCAGATGGCACACCTGCGAGAGCCCCCGCTTCATGTCGCAATAACAATTCAATCTACATCCAAACCTGCCAATAAAAATCACAGGCGCATGAAAGTGCTAATTAACAATAATTCCATCACAGTCGGTCTAGCCGTCTCCCTGGACTCTATGAAAATCGGAGTTTCCTTCCTACACGTTTACGATCAAGCATTCTGATTGAGGACTGGGGAAAAAAAACAATGTGCTTTTAGAGGATTTCTCCACCTTTACATCACATCCATGTGACCGCGGCCAGAAAATCTCATTGTGTTCCTGGCAGACAGAAGCATAAACACAGATAATGGCGAGTTTTACCACTGGCTTGATAGGCTGTTGTGGCCGAGAGTTACTTTACCTGCCTTAGGCCATCCCTGCTGTTCTGCATGATCCGGAGGGCATAGTTCGAGCGCTGGCCTTTGCTGTTGAACTCGATGCGGCCTGTTAGTCCTTCCAACTCTACCTATCCGGCGAGAGAGAGACAACATGTTAACGCCTGGGGGTATCATGCGATCACAGCCACAAAAGTCTTCAGTGCTGTATCGATTTATAGAGCTACGTGGACGGCAGAGCTCCTCACTGGAAGCATTCGCACAATGCAGGAAGCGGCTATAGATCGCCATATGTCACGCATAAGATGATGCAGTAATGACAAGCTGATGGTCGTTAATCTTTAATGGCTGAGTAAGACACAGTGTCTCGGTTTCACAGATTCTGCTGAAGGCTGCAGTTCTGATGAGGGTTTGTGGGCCGCAGTGGTACAGAGAGCAAAAACTAAATGATGAATGAGCCTGCAACGGCAGCAGGTGAGATGATTGGCAGCTCGTGGGCTCTCCCTGCGGTTCTTACCATCCTCAGGTAGTTCATCAGACTTGTGCCGTGCTCCCAGATCTTAGAGGACTTGCAGGAGAGCTGAGTGGCTCCTACGTTCTGGCTACGGTTCAGCTCCTGCACGGCTGCCACCACCGTGTGTACCGCATCAAACAGCAGCGCTGACGAAAGCTGAAACACACAAACATAAGAGTAAACAGAAAGCAGTACAATCCAACTATAGGCTGCTAGCCGAGACAGATACACACTTCATGGCCAAAAGTATGCTGACAAGCTTTGGATTAGCATTTTTAGCTATTCAGCCGTAGAAATAAATATGCATTTGGCAGATGCTTTTGTTCAAAGGGATTTACTGGCAACAATGTATAGCTGTATGTTCCCTGTAAATAAAACCCATGAACGCACTAGAAAATATACCGGAAATACCATAGACCATAAAGCTGTGTGTAATTAAATAGTATTTAATAAAAAGTCTGTAATATTTACTCTAAAACCATTTACAACATTGGTGTCACTAAGATTTTGCTGCCTTGGAATTATAAGGTTCTATCTGCATTCTGAGCTGTTTTGAGACATTGAGCTTCATTTATTAGAGATATTGGCTGCATTTATTTGATAAATTTATTTGTCATCCTTTTTTATTCTAATATGGGGACCTACCTCAATGGGGACAGGCATAATGGTTTTTATACTGTACAAAAGTATATTCTACATCAACCCTACACCGAAACCTACCCCTCACAGAAAACTTTCTGCATTTTTACAATAATAAAAAAAAAAACTTTGTTTACTTCATTTTTATCAAATGAGGATGTCCCCAAGAGGAGTTTTTTGGAGATTTTGTCAGGTTTAGCTAACTTTTGGGTACAAATTTGTCCCCAAAATATGTTAAGTAGGTACACACACACACACACACACACACACACACACACACATTGATGCTCTTATTTGAATGGGAGAAAATTCCTGCATCCATGTTTTAATATCTACTGGAAAGCATTTCAAGAAGAGTGAGAAACGTATCAATGCCTGCGGTTGTAAAATTAAATGCTGAAAAAAGCACATGGATTTGGGTGTTTGGTTGTCTGCATGCATTTGGCCATGCAGAACATCATTAAATCATTCAGACATTTCATCGTTGATCACTGTGATACAACCACCACTTCCTTTGCCCCCTCAGCCCCCTGGAACTGAATTACTGACCACTTTAATTACATCAGATGGCGTGTTAATGCACTGCAGCAAAGGCTGTGGAGTTTCCTTTCCCTCTGACATCCATTATGGTGCTAAAGCTTTCTGTAATGAGGATATGTTATGCTGCATTATGGAACAGCACAGCAGCTTAGAGGAGGTGGAGATGTGTGTGTATGTGTCGTGAGTGAAGATTGAATGTGTTTGTGACTAAAATAGCAGTCTGCGTAAATTTTCTTTAGAAAAATTCTCCTTTCTGTAGAAAAAACAAAAACAGTGTAACTATTCTGGTCGCATGCAGGGAAACGTCCTGGCTGCTCTCATTAGGCGAATGCATAATGACAATGTGCGCGCGCTGCCGACTGAGGCAGATATGCAGGTTCGCTGGTTAATCTCTGCACAGACTAGCCAGTCTAGTCTTTGGCTAATGAAGTCCAGGGCTTAAATATCTGTTTGGTTAGTGTCTTCCCTATCAAACACATTAGGCCAAGCTAGTTTTTAAGGCTTTGCATTTCTAAGCCAGTGTGTAACACAGAGTTGAGTCTCACTGTGGGGTTTAGACCTGTTCTCTCTCTCATCTGTCTGCCAGACTACAAACCATCCTCTGATTAATTAAAGATTAGACCTAATTAAATGAGAAGTGCAACCAGGGCTAGTTTCTAAAAGCAGTAGGCATTTATTTTTCAAAAGTCTTCCCCCTTCAGCTTTAATTAGAATACAAAAATTTAAAATGAATTATTTCGACTTACTTGCATATATCAGATAAAGAAATGTTACCGATCGATCTTTGATCATTTTTTTCTTTATTAGCTTCCCTGGATGTTTGATGGAGTACAAACTGGGACTGAGATCAGGAATAATACATTATACAGATGTTTTCGTTTGCAAAGTGACGGAAATAACTGTGCTGACGTGAACATGCAGGGTGTGTGTATTCCTCAGGGTGAATATGTGACTTTGTGTGATGAATTATACAGCCATAGCCTCGGCTTCAAGGTAAGCAAGAGGACATGAGTAGTAGGCTGTTCCAAATTAATTAACACAGAATCCTTGAGTTACAAAAAAATGACTTAATTTAGAATACTAGACATAAACACAAAAAGAAAATTTTTTAAAGGATAGTTCACCCCAAGAATTTTTATTTTGCCATTATTTATTCACCCTCATGTTGTTCTACCTCTCATTTTTCAGTAAAACCCCAAATGAGATGTTAGGATGGAGGTCCAAGTTGCTCTTTTCCACAAAATGAAAGTTAATTTATGATTTCAAGCTCCAAAATGAGCAAAAGAGTATAATAAGTGTAACCCACAGTGAACATATGGCTACTTTTATGGTTTTAGGATGTTTTTGTTTTTTGGAGTTCATAAGGACAAACCACCACCTACTTTCATGATAATAAATTGGCTGCTTGGACATTCTGCCTAACATCTTCTTTTGTGTTTCATGGAAGAAAGAAAGTAACTGATTTCACTTCAGTTTCTAAAATGAAAATTCTGTCATTAATTACTCACTCTCATGTCCTTTCAAACCCGTAAGAACTTCGGAACATCTTCGGAACACAAATTAGGACATTTTTTATGAAATCGGAGAGCTTTCTGACCCTGCATAGACAGCAACGCAATTGAAAAATTCAAGGCCCAGAAAGGTAGTAAGGACATCATTAAAATAGTCCATGTGACATCAGTGGTTCAACCATAATGTTATGAGGCTACAAGAATACTTTTTGCGTCGTGGTACTCTTGTGAACACGCGGCGGAGACTGGCATGGAAGAGAAGAAATTGTTGAATAAAGTTTTTTTTTTTTTCTTTGTTCACAAAAAGTATTCTCGTAGCTTCATAAAATTAAGGTTGAACCACTGATGTCACACTAACTATTTTAATGATGTCCTTACTACCTTTCTGGGCCTTGAACGTTTCAGTTGAGTTGCTGTCTATGGAGAGTCAGAAAGCTCTCTGATTTCATCAAAAATATCTTAATTTGTGTTCCGAAGATGAACGAAGGTCTTACAGGTTTGGAACAACATGAGGGTGAGTAATTAATGACAGAACTAAGCCTTTAACATTGATTTAATCATGCATATTCAAAACATCTTTAACTAAGAGTTTCTCAGCCTTACTGGTGTTCCTGCAAAAGGAGCATGATCACAGTTCTCCTGCCAGGATCGATTGAGGCTGAGGACGAAGTCCTGAAAGAAAGGATGTGTCCTGTTGAAGACTGAAAACCCGACGATGTTGACTCGTTGATCAGCTAAATCGTCCAATCGTAGCAGAGAGAATTCCTGCAAGGGAAGAGAAAACATTCAAGTTAATTCACCAATATGAGTGCTTCTTATCAAGTTGCTAAGCTCAGGTCTCTTGTCGAATCTAAACAACCTAATGATGCCCATAGGAAGTAAAACAATATCGTCAGGCTCATTAACAAGCACTGAGGTAATTCTGCCAATTCCTGGGCCAAGTAATTCAATTCAGCAAACGTTAATGCTTAGGAGAGCAAATCCCAGCAGCTATTGTGCTTCAGATCCCAGGAGGGGCACTTTTGAGATTGTGCGAAAGCGGGTAAAAAAAGGTCCGCAGTGTTGTCAGTCTGCGTCCCGGCACGTGCAGTACTTCAGCTGAAGGTTAATAGAGATGTCCCAGGCAGTTCCTGCTGACACTATTACAGTCTATGACTCTGTCACCATCACTGGCTCAGGGGACACCGAAGATGTGATGAGGAAGAGAAGTTATAGTGCTGGACCCATGACACAGATAATATGAGACGAGATGAGGAGAGAAGAGCAAAGAGACAAGAAGAGAAGAGAAGAGAAGAGACAAGAAAAGACATGATGAGAAGAGACAGGATGGACTGAGACCTTTTCTCAGAGAAGAGGAAACTGGATGAGAAATAATGAAATAAAATGAGATGACACTACAAAAGAAGAGACAGGATAAACTGAGAGTAGATGACAGTGAAGAAGAGGAGACTAGATGATAAATAATGAGATAAAATGAGACAACACTAAATAAGAAAAGATGAGACTACGTAAGAAGAGAAAGATGAACTGAGACCAGATGACAATGAAGAAGAGAGAAGAATATATGGGAAGAGATGAGATGTGATGATACTAGATGAGACATGACAGAATGAATGGAGACTAGATGACACAGAATAGAAATGACTAAATGAGAACAGATGAGATAAGACTAGATGAGATGAGACAAGACAAGACAGAATGAACTGAGACTAGATAGAGAACAGAAGACTAAATGAGAAAATATGAGATGAGACTAGATGAGAAGAGAATGGATGAACTGAGACTAGATGACAAAGAAGAAGAGAGGAGACTAGATGGGAAGATCTGAGATTAAATGAGAAGAGACTAGATGAGACGAGACATAATAAACTGAAACTAGATGACAGAGAAAGGAGGACTAAATGAGAGGTCCGAGACATTATAAAAAAAACATGAAGTGAGACTAGACAACAAAGAAGAAAAGAGGAGAATATAAGGGAAGAGATGAGATGAGACGAAACTAGATGACAGAGAAGAAGATAAATTATGAGATGAAATGAGATGAGACTGCATGAGAAGTGAAAAAATGAACAGACTATGACAGAGGAGAAGAGACTAGATAAGATGAGACAGTATCAACAGAAACTAGATGACAGTAATGAGAAAAGATGAGATGAGACTAAATGAGAAGAGACAGAATATACAGACTAGACGTCAGAGAAGACTAGATGAGAAGATGAAAATAGATGACACTAAATGAGAAAAGACAAGAAGAGTGGCTAGAAGACAAAGAAAAGGAAACAGCATGAGATGAGAAGAGACAAGAAGAGAAGACGTGACAGAACGAGATGAGAGACACCATAAGATTCGAGAGTTGAGACAAGAACAGACATGATGAGATTTACCATAAAGAGAAGTGAAAAAGACTTGTCTCACAATAGGACTTTATGAGAACACACAGGATTACCTGAGACTAGGGCTGCGTTTACACTGGCACAAAAATTCTGATCTTTCGCTCACATCTGACACAGATCGGAATTTGTTGCACACGTGTAAACACAAAAACCCGCACGAGATCCGATTTTC